TCAATTAATAATATTATGTGTTGCAGTTAAAACATTCATGCTGCAGCAGTATTTTAAAAATCGAATTATACATATTTTGAAAAACTTTAATATACCGGGTGACCCATATGTAGAGAAACGCTGGTATAGAATATCTGGTTAAAGTATGAAATAGTAAAATCTTGCAATTGTAAGAAAAATTGTAATTCCAAAATGGAATGCTTTATCGTATATTACATTAGTTTATATGCGGAAATTGTTTCACTAAACGAGTAAAAATCCGAAAATTTGTGGAACTGATTATGCTCGTTATGCGAGGTTCCACTGTATATCTCTTGTTACTCATTCAACTGTATCTTAATTGTCGATACCTGTCACTTAAGAATAATGCATCTGTATACTATAACAAAAATAATATTTTTATACAAAAATATAAATCATATTGGCAAGTTGTTAAATCTACTTTCATTTAGTTCCGGATGATCCTACTTCAAAGAAACCAAACTACCTACTCTGGTTTCTGTTTTGTTAAGCACATAAGTTTTTCCGAAGCTTTCCAGTCGTAATTCGCTTTAGAGCAGCGGACATTCGTTCAATGGTAATGTACGAAAAAGTTTTATTATCTGTCAACTATTATCTACTTTTGAAGTTTCGCAATCTTCTCACAGTACTCTCTATCAGTGCTAATCTGAACGAACAGGTACCGGATTGTACGAATTCAGTGTAATTGAAGTTTACTGTTTTCTTATTCAGGTTGCCGCTCTGTTACAAATTTTATTTTACATAATTAATAAATTACAGAATTATTGAAGTATATTAAAACGTTGATTATCCGGATCTCAATTTACCGTGGTTCGGATTAACTGTCATCGCGGCCATCTTAGCGTTTACTTATTTTCTAAGCTAAACAATAAAATTGTCTCTGCAAATATGCTATTTAGTAAATAATTTTACAAGGAAAACAATGCAAAATTTCAGATTATTAAGTTTCTAAAGCAAATGAAATCGATGTTTATATAAACCTGTTTTTAATTATCCGTGCTTTAACCTTATTTTACTGTATATCTAAATATTTAAAAAATATTTGAATTGATTGAATATATACTTTCTATGAATAACTTTTGATTTTGAAATCAGATATATTTTTGTTTACTTTTTAAAATTTCTGCAACTATTCCAACAATGATTCTATAATATATACACTAATATTTACGGAAGCAGTTAAATATACATTAATATTAAAAATATTATAATATCTGGACTAAATAAAACAATAATTAACCGTACAACCAAATGCTATATAACCAGCGTTGTTTGTAGTTGTACCCAATTTCCTAGAGTATTGCACCAGTTCCTCGCATTGAAACAAGGTGATAGCTGTAATTTTTTCGATCCATTAAAAATAGGATTTTCTGCCCGATTATTAATATTTTCAATATGTTGTTATAATTAAAAATATGAATTATTTCTTATTAAAATATTTATATTGAATTAATAATATAGATACAATAAAATATAGACCACACAGTAGTACAAGTATAATTCCAGTAATCGAATGTGAGTACTCTTCAGCTTCGTGCAATTTGCGACGAGATTTTCCCACGTACTTTATGAAATAAATAAAATGTTATCTCACCATTGCAATACAATTACCATAAACAGTCTGTGTGCAAAACAAATAATAACATATCATAATAATATAACGTCGTTGTTAAAAAATGTACACAGTATTTATTATATAGTTAAAACATTACTTTTTATCTTCAAGCGAAGAATATACATATTTCCATTTATGAGAACAATTCAACTTATTTAAAAGAAGTTATCATTCGCATACAGTGGAACCTCGATTAACGAGCATAATCCGTTCCAAATTTTCCCGATTTTTCCCTATATAAAGTAATGTAATATACGATAATGCGTTCCATTTTGCGAGTCATTTTTTCTTACAATTCATTTTGCTCATTATGCGAGGTTCCACTGCATATTGTTGTAATTGTTTTCTTGATACTATCATGTTTTTGTTATAATACATAGTAATTGACGATTTTGTGATATTCAGCAACAAATTTAAATAAAGTATACATGCTAAATACGAATAACATCACGTGTGGATTTAGAAAATCGTAAAAAAAATATTTTATTCCGGAATGAAAGGTTACTGCACTGCTTAGTTTGCACGAATATACAAGAAAGTAAATATAAGATTACGCGTCATAATGTTTACGCGTAAATAACTTTAATTTACTACATGTTCCTGGTATTCTGATATTAGCATATATAAGAATTAACTTTTAAATGCTGCGTGTAAACTTACTCATAAGAAACAAAACAATATTTTTTTAGGTGATATTTAGTAATGTTCAGTTTGTAGTAGCAACATGAATATATTACAAATTCGAGTGTTCAACTGTTTTAATAATATTTTTTTCCAATCACTACATTAATATTTGTTTATGATCATTATATTTATCTACAACTTTGTGAACATTTCGTTAATTTACCGTAATTAAAAAAAATGCTCTTGTACATAAAAAACGTTTAATATTTATTTACTTGTAGATTTAAGTATTAGAAAATATATATTCATGTACATTTATTAATATAGTAAAATAAAGGATACTACAATGTTTGAACTTAAGAATATTTAAAATTTGGACATATGTGAATGCATACGCTGATTGAAGATAACTAATGACAGTGTTGTCAGAAGATGTTCTATTTGTGTGTGTTTATTGCATAGCTCACTTTGATTAATTAACGTTTATGGTATAGACGTGAGTTCGTCTTCTTTCTTTTTCTCCTACTCATGCTTGACCATCATCCTCTTTTCTTTCTTTTCTTCTCCTTTCTCCATCTCCTTTGTGGACGTCCATCGTTCATTCATCGGATAAAAATTAATTAAAAGCAATCAATTTTAATTGGAAAACTTGCATAATGTTTATTTATTAGCGGAGCGCTCTCGGTTTATGGGCAAAAGAAAAAGCGCTCTCTCCGCTAGAGTTAACATTCCAAATTGGGATCGACACCAGAGCCGTGTATGTACATACCTACGTACAGATGAGCCTTTCCCGAACAGCCGGGATTTTATATACTATATAGTGTGTGTGTATTCCTAGCTCTTGTTTGTTCCGATCGACGACTATGTTGTTTTCTTTGGCCATTGGCCGACTTGATGTATTTGATGCCTCGTGCGTCTTAGCTAAATAAATGATTGCACTTCTTTATTATCTAACGGATAAGACGAAGGTGGCTCTGCTCGGCGGCGCTTGTAAACGAAACGTAATTACTGGAAAATGATTAGTTCGCCAATGTACGTGTTCGAATTTGCATAATAGACCGTTTTAGAGTATTTAAGGAACTATTTTACCACTTACTTTGAACTTCCTGCAGCTTATACTGATAAATAGACGCATGTGTAGGTTATAGATTTACGGTTACAGAGCAATCTTCAAACGTCAGTTTAGTACTTGTACCATTTGTTTTGACGCCGTTGTTATTAATAACTTCTTCGATGATAACAATATTTATTGACAGCCATTATCATAGAGTTTACATTGGTTTTAAATCTTCTAACACAGTGGTCCCCAACCTTTTTGACCTCACGGACCACTAAACTCAATTTTTTTAATCCCGCGGACCACTACAAGGACTTAAAAAAAATAAAATTCTAAATCTGAAATAGTATTTACATTGGGCCTTTTATACACAACTTAATAATGCGTAAATTGCAAAAAAATGGATTCAGAATATAATAAAAACATAAATAACCTCTCGTCCATATACGTAAATACACAACTGTAAATAAAATGAAAAAAAATATGTTCCTTGGGCGAACGGGTACCATTTGATCCAGGGGTTGGGCTCACTGTTCGAACATATTTAAATCAAACATTTATACGACATAAAATTTAGGAAGAAAGTCACAAAATCACATGAATTAATTGAGAATTTATTACCTAATATATATTTTCAATTTTGCTTGACAGTAATTATGTGATAATACTTCATATTAGATTATTTTTTTTAAACAATAACTATTTCCATGGTAATTAAATCACTGTGTAGCTTACCTAAAATATACAGAGAAAGTGACAATCTAACCTAAAAATAATATAATTTTCCAAGTAAATAAATGTAAAAAATATAAAATTCAATTTGATACTGATACTTCATTATCACGGAAGAAGGTCCTCAAAATTATGTAATAAACTAATCTATATTCATCTATATTACAAAATCATTAATTAATAAGATTACTTCGCATCATTACCATATTAAAAAATAAATTAATATTGATTTAGATTTTATAAAGGATTTCTAAAGATTTCCTCGTCACATTTGTTATAACCACTAATGCTTTCGAATTATCTATCATGCATTAAGTACGATTTATTTGGCACTCTTTGCGATTACATTTATTTTCATATAAAAGGATTCGTTTCTGAAAATCGCCGATTTTTTTTATCTTCAAAAGATCTAATAAAGTAATTGAACACGAAGTTGTAAATTTTTGGACGCTGGCAACCATCCAGATTAACTATTTTTAAAGCAATTGCTATTTAACAGCTGTTACCACAGTCTGGTATTTGGAAGGTTTTGACATCATCCACCTCTTCTTGCGCTTGCGGTGATTTGTGGTAACTGTTGTTGCTGCTTCAAGTGAAACAGACAATATAATACTACTATGCACATTTATAAATATAATCGCAATAGTTCCGGGTTATTTTATGTGCAAAATTACTCCGTCGATTATGGTTCGAATTATATCGTAGGTGAACCTTAACCTCTTCAAATTTATAACTATTGTTTCTGCGCAGTTCATGTATAACCAATCAATTTTATTTGACTTTAACGAGTTTTTTTTAATAACAAATTCTCAAATCTAAACATTCGTAGAAGCGTATACTGCTTATAATCTACTTATTTTAATTAAGAAAATAATTTTATGTAAATGATAAAATATAAGCTAAAGAAATTCTAGGTGTAAACTTATATATAATTACATATTTTGTTCACAGGTTGTCTTAATAATGCACATCATCGACACCTTCCAATAGAAGCAGGATTCGAACTTTTCCTACTTGTAAGTTTGTTGATTTCTCTATAATGTTCTAGATCAGTCTTTTAAGTACATTTATTTTCTGAACAGGGAATATACTTGATCTCATTTTCTTGGATCGAAATACTCTATTTATGATAATGCGCTTTCTTGCTTATTTTATTTATACATTCATTACAAATATAATAATTAGAAATCCTTGGATGAAGTATTTATTATTTTTACTTAAATTGTTATAATTTAGTCCAATATTTATTATAAACAAATACATTTACAATCACTAAACAGTAATACCTCGATTAACGTAACCTTTCATAACGAAGCTTCTAATTTCCAATATTCAATCGCCCGACAATTAACCAATAAAATATGGCCAGAAGTTCTACTAGAAGAATAAAATAGCATCCAAGAAATTATAAATGAAGTTATCCAGATGGCTTAATCAATAGGTGTCGAAAATGTCGATGATGTTAGAAATTTATTGAATGCAGAAGATAATAATAATAATATCAATGTACTGTAATGCAACAATAAGAACAAAAAAAACAAATAAATAATATACATATTAGAAGAGCTCAAAGGAACCGAATCAGTTTTACCAAAAATGTTCAACTGATCTTCCTTTGGTCCTGAAAAAGTATACAAATGGAATTCATTTTTCTTACTGGGCACTAGCCGACTAAATACGTGTTGATCAAGACAAATTTATTTTCCTGATGATAAAAAATATTAACTAAAGATTTAAAATGACATTTTAATAGTAAATTGTTAAATGAAAGAAAAAATCATAAAAAATTATCTTTAGACTCAAATTTTGAAATATTTTCAATTTGAATTCACTTACATTGTGATTGTTTATTTAATAAAACTATTCAAAAACAAGTTTTTCATTTTCTGGTTATACTTTTACGTCTGAACGCAATGATTCGCTTAACGAATTAATTTCGTGGTACTTATTTCAATACAATTATTCATAACAGATAAACATTAAAAATGTACAAAAATCACCTAGATTTTTGGAATATTACATAAATAATATTTTATTTGCAACAGTTTAATTTAATTTTTATTTTAATATTGTATTAAGATTATATATTGGTGATATATAAAACATAGAACCATTTCAATAATTAAAAATATTAAAACTGTAACATACATAATTATTACCATCTTCTTGAATCTGATATTGTGCAGCAACATTATTAATTATGTTTTGGATAACTTTTTATTACTTTCATAACTTCAGAAATTATAGCTATATATACATTACTATTAATTTAATATATAGATAATAATCAAACTAATAGTATTTAATAAATAGCCCTTTGCAGCAATTCATTTTAGTTTTATTTTTGTTATTATGTAATTGTGTTAAGTTTATATTATTTTTGTTGCAATAAATACTTTTTTTTATTATTTAATTTGGTTGCAGTAAAATTAATAACAAATTTATCCGTAAAGGATGAATTTATGTGACGCAAGTTTTACGTGCAGATTCTTTTTATTCTCCGTTTCGGAATGCCAACCATCAACATTAATAACTAATGGTTATGAAATATGCATAGGAGAGACTTTACTGCACAGCCACCGTCAATCTCGAAAACCTGCCACAACTTGGGACCAGTAAGCTTTTTCGTCTATAAATAAAGAAACCTACCCTCCTTCTCTTGCTCTCGCTTTCTCTCTCATGTACACACAACACACATATACACGCATTCGCTGCCTGCCAAAGTCGTACAACGTCTGACACGATCTGTCCACGCTGAAAATGCATTACTGTAATTGCTGGTATCTTATTACTCAAGTAATACGAATACGTGGCGATGATGGCGATAATAATAATAATAATGGCTCTGTTTTCTTCCATCTTAGCGGAATGAGAAAAACGAGCAACTAAAATGGCGACTCCTGAAAATAAATCTTTAAAGCAGGCGCAAGGGGAGAAAGAGAGGTCAGAAATTATTAATGGGTTTGTATTTGTTCACTTAGCATATACGGTAACAGTTTTATTACAAATGATCTACATGATTTATGATCTGCGGTCGACTTTTGTCCAAAAAAAAAAATGAAATTACATTCATCAACATTTCCAATTCCAAATTAACAAATAAATAATCTTTAAATAAAAACATAACGTAAATAACAGCAATATTCATTAACTTTAAATTTATTTACAGGCAAAAATTTGACTACATGAATCATGAAACAATTTAAAAACGAATTAATTAAATTATAAAACGTAATCCTATTTATTTATAAAATTAAATTATTTTTCATTAAAAAATAGCATACAAATATTAAGTAAAGTAAAAAGTTCTGAGCGTGTTGTCCTATACATCGAGCTTATGAAAATGGTTCCAAACGGTTCAGTTTCTGAAGACATTTTCGTTGATTGAATGTAAGCGTTGGAAATATAAATTAATATTGAATATATATGTCATTGTAATAAAAAGTAATTTAAACTAATAATGATAATCACATGCAACATTTATAAAATTGCTTTCAATTTCATAATAACGTACCAAAAAAATCTGTAAGATAATACCATAAGTCTTTCCTATATTTAATATTAAGCAATTATCTTCCATAACTTTTTGTATGTCTAATTAATTTTAACATTAATTTGCTTCACTAATGACAATTAATGAAATTGGTTGAAACGTTTATTTACATTTATGAGCTTAAACATGAATTAAAATGTACGTGCGTAAGTAGTCTTAATTTCTCATTAAAACTAATTTGTAAAAGCAGAGATTCGAGGCGGTTCAGGCGTTGAGTTATAATGTTATTGTCCAACAAATTAACTTAGTATATTAATCACTTCATATTTCCTAGATTAATAATATACGTATAATTATTATTTTTCATTATCTAATTAAATATTTATACTTGAAAATATAAATTTTAAGATAAATATTTAAGACACTTTGTTAAGTGTATATGTTTAAATATATTTAAATTCATAAAATGAAATATTTTTTTTAAGGTTTTGTTTGTAGATTGATACTTTTATAACATTTTAATAATACCGTGCCAAATTCGCGAATAAAAAAAAATATACAGTAGGCATTCTTGGAAGTAATTTAATTTGACCTCGTATTTGATTACTTTCTTTCAACATATTCATACAGAATCGTTCGCTGTTCAGAAATGTGATCCTGCAATTACAGAAGAATTCTTATGCGGTTCTAATTATTGCAATGTAATTGATTGGATCGAACTCGTTTCTGGAATTTTCTAATTTTAACGGACGACAATCATTAGAAAAGTAATTAGTGCCATCATTAATTATCATAATTATCGGTGGTATTGTATTAATCAATAGAACGTTGGAAATTAGCGAATCAAATAAAACCAATGAAGTTAATTGTATAGGCTAATAAACATGTCATGTGCATTTTTATTTCACTATTATGAATTACAGATTTTGTGTACGTTTGATTTTCCAGTATATAACTTGTTTATAAGCAATAAATCTTTGCTGTTCGTAATTATTTATGGAATCATTGTTCGAATTTAATCAAACCTAATGAATTATTATTACTTTCTTACCACAGAACATATTTATTTTACTTGTAATTAGTTGACGTATAATTAAACGTATATTTTAGAAGAGCCTTTCAGATTAGTGACCTATTGATAGGTTTGTTTTTATTACAACAATTGACCTTTGTGTCTCAACTTAATTTTTTGTCGAAATTGTTGATTTTTTTTGATAAGTTAGGTTAAAAATGTTCAATGCTTTATGAATGCATGATAATTTTATTTTTTGTAGTATTTGAAAAAAACATGTGGTTCCACTGCGATACCAGTATATGATTAAAAAAAACATCATTCAGACATCAATATAAAATAAAACATATATATATATATATATATATGAAAAAAATTCAATATAAAAGATAAAAAAATGTTAATATAATTATTTCTTATGGAAATCTGCGAAACAATTTTTCTTGTCTCTCAACAGTTGCCAAATCGATCAAAACTCATTATCGGTATTTAGTTTATAAGCGTAAACAAGTCCCCTGATCGTAGTTTTAAGAAAAATAGAAAAGTCCGGAGTACTTGTGGTTCCAATTGGGACTACACAAAATATATTGAAAATAAAGGACTATATTTCGCTAAAACAAATACAGTAAAAAAGGAAGAGAGGGACCGCATAAAAGAAATCGCACAAAAAAATATTAGAAATTTTCATAATTACAAATAACTTTGTATAATACATTACAAAAACTTTTTTTATGCGGTCCCAATCGCACATAGAAAATACGTCAAAGATTTTCGAAATACATGAGAGAGTGCATCCATACAAAATAAATAATTAAATTGCACATGGAAACATTTTAAAAACATTTAATTTATCATTTTACATATCGAGAAATTTTCAAAATGCACATACATAATTCACTGCTACTCGTGTCAATCCAAAACGCGCATCTTCTTGTGATGAATTAGTTCAAAATCGACTAACAGAATCGTTTGAGCAGGCTGTATCCACACTGATAGAAAACATTACAATGATGCCAACGTCATTGGAATTGGTTGGATTTCATATACCGCACAAAAAAGAACCGCATAAAAACAGGTTCTATACTATACAGTAGAACCTAAATGAATGATAATAATTTAATTTCGAGCATTTATAAACAAACATTATATACCGGCATAAAACTTTATACTGATTAGCCACCACTCAAGTGGATTCTGAAGCAAAATCACTAAATATTGCAGTTTATCAATGCTAAGCAGTCATAGAATGTGACCAATGTTATGATTCAAGCTAACGAATACCGAGTCGTTTGTAAATAATAATTCTTTATGTGGTTTCTATTTATCAAAAGTAGGTTTTTAAAAATTGTCGCGCTTTTTCTAGTACAAAAATGTACTATTAGAAAACAAATGACTGAAATATTAATGTTTTAGCACTACCCATTATAAATAAATGATCAGTATCCTGTTATTTCACTAATGCTATTTAGTCATGTATTTATGCATTGATAGATTATATTTAGAAAGTGGTT